TCGTTGTTGGTTGTGGCGTGGTAGATTGTGGTGGTGGTGGTAGTGGTGGTGGGTTTTTGTGGTAGTGGTGGTGATGGTGAATTGTTGTGGTGGTGGTGGTTGTGGTGGTGGTGGTGGCTGTGGTGGTGGTTGTGTGGTGGTGTGGTGGTGGTAGTGGTGGGTTGAGGTGGTGGTGGTTGTGGTAGTGGTGGTGGTGGTGGTAGTGGTGGTTATCGTCGCTGCGCCCCCGCAGTCGCAGGCGCCAGCGCCGGCGCTTCTGGCCGCCGCCAGCGCCGGCGCCGGCGCCAAAGGGGGGGGGTTGAACACCCCCCCTCGGCGCCTGGGGGCAGGGGGGAGGAGTTTTGAACCCCCCCCCACCTTTGGGCTGCCTCTGGTCATCATCGCTGCGTCCCCGCCGTCGGCGCTGCTGGCGGCCGCCGGCGCCAGCGCAGGGGGAGGGGGTTGAACCCCCCCCCCTGCGCACACGCACACACGCACACACGCACACACGCACACACGCACACACGCACACACGCACACACGCACACACGCACACACGCACACACGCACACACGCGCACACGCACACACGCACACACGCACACACGCACGCACACACGCACGCACACACGCACACACGCACACACGCACACACGCACACACGCACACGCGCACACACGCACACACACGCACACACGCACACACGCACACACGCACGCACGCACGCACGCACGCACGCACGCACACGCACGCACACACGCACACACGCACACACACGCACACACGCACACACGCACACACGCACACACGCACACACGCACACACGCACATACGCACACACGCACACACGCACACACGCAGACACGCACACACTCACACACGCACACACGCACACACGCACACGCACACACGCACACACGCACGCACGCACGCACGCACGCACACACGCACACACGCACACACGCACACACGCACACACGCACACACGCACACACGCACACACGCACACACGCACACACGCACGCTCACGCCCACGCGCACGCACACGCACACGCACACGCACACGCACACGCGCACACACACACACGCACACGCACACCACACACAACACACACAAACACACACGCAGACAGACAGAGGCGCACACCGACACACGTACACACTGACACACAGACACATAGACACACAGACGCGCAAACTGACCGACTGGCCGACTTACATGCACACACATACATACACGCATGCACGCATGCATCCGCACATACACTCATACAGATATACACACGCATAGACAACGAATGGCCTTTGACCCTCCCCGCCGCCGTGCCTGGGTTGTGGGTCTGAGGCCGCTTGGGTGGTCGTGGGGATCTCTTCGACGCCCCTTGGGGGCCTCCTGGACGCATTTGTGAGGCCGTTTGTGGCGCTGTTTTGGGGCCTCTTTTGGGCCTCTTGGGGGCCTCGTGGGGGCCTGTTTGGCTCAAGGTGTGCCGTCCCGCGGGGAGCGGGTCGGCCCTTGGCGGGCAGCGCGCGGCCCTCGGGTTGCGCATCCGAGGCGGCGCATGGTGCGCATCGGCGGCGGGCGCGGCAGCGGCGGGCGGGGCTACTCTGTCCGCCACGGCATGTCCCTGACGACCGTCGGGACGCTGCAGGAGGCCGCGGAGCTCATGCGGCTCCTCCAGGGGGGGAAGGCTCCTCAGCCGAGCGCGCGAAGGAGGGGAGCACCGAACATGTGGCGCAGGCAGCGCGGGTGCCCGCCGCGGGCGCGCCCAGCCCTGGGCGTGCGGGCGCAGCAGCTGCTCGGCGCTGCGGCAGACATGGTGGCCCTGGTGGGAGGACGTACGCTGGCAGCGGGCCTCCAGGAGATGCGCAAGGGCAAGGTACGTATCCCGACGCCGCTGGTGAAGCGTTGCCGCGAGCTGGACGCGGCTAGCGCACTGCTCCGGCACCCGGGCGCCGGCGAAGAGGACCAGCCAGAGGCTCTGCTGCGCAGCCTGAGGGCGTGGCGGGCGGAGCAGATCGAGAAGGTGGTGGTCAAGCAGAGCTCTGAGACGGGGTGCGACACGCTGGGCGACGATTCCGAGGAGCTGCAGGACTACCAGTACAGCCAGGAGGACGAGACCGAGCACGAGGGCCACGGGTCGGACGCCTCCGTGGAGAAGGGCATGGATCAGGTGGGCCAGGTGGAGGTGACCGAGGGCTACGGCGGCGCGGGGCAGCCTCCACTTCCAGGACCTGCTCAAGGGGATGGGCCCGTCACAGCCCGATCGGCGGATTGCGCCGACGAGGGCGAAAGGGCGGGGCCCACGGTCTTCGAGGCGATCGTCGAGGCGGAGCCGCAGACCGAGTTCCTTGACCACACGCTGCCGCACGTGATGGGCGAGGACAACGAGCACTACCGGGTGGTGACGACCAAGAGCGCGGCGAAGCGCCGCCGACGGGCGGAGCGACGCAGGGCAGCGCAGGAGGACGAGGACGAGACCGAGTCCGAGGTCAAGCAGGGCCCCGAGACGGTGTGCGACGGCGTCGATGAGGGGCTCGAGGAGGTCGCGGAGACCGCGGGGGCCCAGACGGCAGAGCATGCGGAGGAGAGGAACCTGTGGAGGCCAGGTTGGCAGCAAGATGAGGACGAGCCTCCTCCAGCACCTTCCACGGCACTAGAGCTGCGAGCGGGGCGCCAATGGCTCACGCGGATCGCGGTGGACCGCAAACCGAGGCGAGGGGAGCGTGCGTGCTGGCAGCCAGTGCAGATCGCAACCGAGGTGGCCTTCGAGAAGGCCTGAGGGGCAGCGGTCGGCGGCTACAGGGTGCAGGGCAACGGCTTCTGCGCCCAGCTGCGGGGACCAGTGCGGCGTCAAGCTGAACTGGGAGAGCAGCGTCTTCGAGGCGCTGCAGTGGGCCTTCGAGGAGGCCTGAGAGGGGCTTGTGGAGCTGCTCCAGAAGCTGCCGATGCCACTATGTGAGCATGGTGAACGTGATGCTGGTTTAGGCCTGAGCCAGGTCTTTCGAGCCATTCAGGCCATTCAGGCTAGTTGTGCCAGGCCATACAGGGCATGGCGTGCCGCCGTCTGCGGCGAACGGGCCTCGTGGCGGGATCCGCTGGAGGCTTGGGGGAGCAAAAAAAGGCCTCGTGGGGGCCTGTTTGGGGCCTCCTGGGGCCTCTTGGGGGCCTCTTGGGGCTTCCCGAGCGCCTCTTAGGGCGGAAGGCTCGGACTTTCGGTTCGTGTTCCCCCTTGTTGGGCCGCTATTGGGGCCGTTTGTTCTCTTGGGACGTTTTGGGCGCCTCTTTGGGCTCTCATGGGACCCTCCCAGGTCCCGTTGAAACCCTCGTGGGTGCTTTTTGGACAGTCCTGGAGCGGTCTTGAGAGCCTCGCGGGCCGCCTTGGAGCGTCGGAAGCTCGGAATGGCGAGCACCCCAAAAACACTGAAACGCCAAAGGGGCATCAGTGGTGTTTGCCTCTGGGGGTCCTCTCGGGACGTCTTTCGGGGCTCCTCTGAGGCGACTCGAAGACGTAGTGGGCCGTCTTGGAGACATCCTGGGCGTCCTGGCGCGATCGTTCGGCGATTCGGAGCATTCGTGGACCGTCTGGACGGACTCTTGTGGCCCTCAAGGCTCGTGTTCGGGCCCTTGCGGGCCAGAAGTAGTCATGCGACACGACTCGACGCGCCCGGTGGGAGGTGTGGTGGTGGTGGTGTGGCGGTGGTTTGTGGTGGTGGTGGTGGTGGTGGTTGGTTGTGGTGGCGGTGGTGGTGGTGGTTTGGTGGTGGTGTGGTGGTCGTGTGTGGTGGTGGTTTGTGGTGGTGGTGGTGGGTTGTGGTGGTGGCGGTGGTTTGTGGAGGTGGTGCTGGTGGTGGTGGTGGTGGCAGTAGTGGTGGTGGTGGTGGTGGTGGTGTGGTGGTTTGTGGTGGTGGTGGGTTGTGCTGCTGGTAGTGGTGGTGGTTGTGGCGGTCGTTGTTGGTTGTGGCGTGGTAGATTGTGGTGGTGGTGATAGTGGTGGTGGGTTTTTGTGGTAGTGGTGGTGATGGTGAATTGTTGTGGTGGTGGTGGTTGTGGTGGTGGTGGTGGCTGTGGTGGTGGTGGTGGTTGTGTGGTGGTGTGGTGGTGGTAGTGGTGGGTTGAGGTGGTGGTGGTTGTGGTAGTGGTGGTGGTGGTGGTGGTAGTGGTGGTTATCGTCGCTGCGCCCCCGCAGTCGCAGGCGCCAGCGCCGGCGCTTCTGGCCGCCGCCAGCGCCGGCGCCGGCGCCAAACGGGGGGGGTTGAACACCCCCCCCTCGGCGCCTGGGGGCAGGGGGGAGGAGTTTTGACCCCCCCCCCACCTTTGGGCTGCCTCTGGTCATCATCGCTGCGTCCCCGCCGTCGGCGCTGCTGGCGGCCGCCGGCGCCAGCGCAGAGGGGGGGTTGAACCCCCCCCCTTGGGAGGAGGGGGGTGGGTGTTCGGTTCGGGGGGGGGGTTGGGGGGGATGGCAGTCCCCTTGGTTTTAATCGACGGCGCCGAGTGTTGGGGGGGGCGCCGCCGAATGCTCCCAAGGGCAAGCGCCCGTGAAACGCGCTCTCTCGTAAATATACGTATACGTGCGCACATGTATATGTTACACGACGTGCGGGCATGCATCTCTTCAGTTGTGGTGTCCAAGCGTGTGCTCTCGTTTTGTTTTGGTTTCGTTTCGGATATTCCTTCGTTGGGCTGCTGCTTGAGTGTGTTCCCAGTGGTCTTGGTGAGAGCTGGATTTGGGCCCTAGTGCATGTATATGATGGAGAAAACGTCCATTGCTGAGATCTTTTAGCAAGAGCACGGTCCTCAACAAGACACGCAGTCTGATATGTAGGTCGCGCGCTGATAGAAATAGAACGTGTGCACGGGTACTTTGATTCACAAGAGGATTTGACTTGTTGATCAGAGAGCAAGTTGATTGGTGGCATCGGTGTTTCTTGTCACGCGTAACAGTTTAACGATTGCAGAATTTTGCAAGTGTATGTCTTTCATCTGGTTGTTTTGCACCCTGCCCTGACGTCCATACGCATCAGGAACATAGTCCAGAGAACCACCGTCGACACGCTTCCCCAACACCACGCACAGGATTGTGACGTTACCGAGTGTGGGGTCGTCCATATTTCTCTTCCACGGCAAGCCATGCGAGCTGGATTGAGAGAGGAGAAACAGGGTTTCACGGAAGCGCGACCGCAGTCGTCTTCGCAGCAATCCGCATGATTGATTCGGCATTATTTTTGCAGAATTGGGTGAACAATTTCTGATGTTTCAGTCGGCAGTGCAATCGAAACCGCATGCGCCGACTCACACTTACAGTGCTGCCGACGGTTGTATTCGGGGTGGAGTCCAGACGCTTCCCCAGCTGGAAGGAATAGACGCTGATGCGTTTGAAGCTAATTTCGCGGTGACTGCCAATCATTTGCGCTGCAAGAGTAGTGTCAACATGTGGGAGCAGTTGCTTCTGCCCTGACGTATTTTCGGCGTGCGCGTTTACAGCTGGCGACTGTTGCTTGGCCAGTCCACCGCTTCATACAATCCGCGGAATGGCAGGGTTTGACGGGTAACGTGTGACACACCAAGCTGTGCCAAGACAGATAGAGCGGGCAGTTACTGTTCATGTGCAGGATCTGTTGCATCAGGACTTCCACACCGCTCCGCGACCTGCCTCAGGCAACACGTCACTTCCGGACATGGATTCCTCTCGCCTCGCGGGGTGCACGTCTGGAGCACGTACACTCCAGTCGCTGTGGGGCCTCTTGGGAACCTCTTGGAGGCCTCTTGGGGCCTTTCAAGGGCTTCTTGGGGCCTCTGTCTTGGGGGCCTCTTGGACCGTCTTTGGGCGCTCTTGTTCCGTCTGGCCTCTCTGGAAGCCGTTTTGGAGGCCTCTCTGGGCTGCCTTGGGGCTCTCTAGGGGCTTTCTTGGGGGCCTCCTGGACAGCCTTGAGGTCCTCTGTTGGCAATATAGGGGCCCTCTTGGGCCGTCTTGGAGCCTTCCTCCTTGCCCCTGGGGCAGTCTCAGGCCATATTGGAGGCTGCCTGGGCCGCCATTCACCCCCGAGAGTCCAAAAGGGCGAGAACTTTACGTACAATCTCTCAAAATCCTTTGAACTATGAATGTTTTTGGTTTGTGGAGGTGGTCTTGAGGGCTCTTTGGGGCCCTCATGGTGCTGTCTTGGAAGCCTTTCGGGCCCTCCAGGGGCCATCTTGGGCGGTCTTGGGGCCGTCTTGGCCCGTCTAGAGACATGCTTGAGCCGTCTTGAGGACCTCTTTGACCCCCACGAGGCCCAAGGCGTCCAAATCATAGATTTAACAATATTGTTTTTTAGTTTTTGAGGCCCAGAAGGGGGACACCATTTTTGTTGCGGTGGATGTGGCATGGCCCCGCGGGGGCGGTTAGGGGAGTTTCCATAATTATTAGCTTGCACATAACAACATGAGCAATTACACAATCATTGGATACATTGGATACGTTGCATTAAGGCGTTCGCCGAAAAGACCACAGGGCGTGGATTCGACAGGCTTGCGCCACACCCGCCAACCCCATTAATTTGGGGTAGTTTTCCAGCGTTGTCTGTTGAGTATGTGTTGGGGTCTTCGTGGGTGTAAGGGCAGAGGAGAGCGACGCGCTTCCAATGACTCAGAATGCAGATGGGCAGATTCTGATTGAGTAGGTGTTGTTTGCCGCTTCGCAGTGTGCTGCTGTCGTTTACGAGGAGGGAGGAGGAAGGAGGAGGAGGAGGAGGAGGAGGAGGAGGAAATGAATGTAGACTAAATGGGCGACGAGGAAGGAAGAGGAAGAGGAGGAGGATGAGGAGGATGAGGACGAGGAGGGACCAGGAGGAGGAGGAGGAGGAGGAGGAGGAGGAGGAGGAGGAGGGTGAGCAGGAGGCTGTCTCCTAACGTCTTCGAGGTGCCTGCGCTTCATCGCCGAAACATCGGTTGTTCAATGCGATCTGGACCACAACGTTCTTCACCTTGCCGTTGCCGATGCATCGGCGATTCAGTGGGATCCGCTGGCCCCATCTGCTCATGCCCGCGCCATGTAGGAGGCGTCCCCGCTTCTTTCATCTCCCTGCACCCTCCGTGCGAGGGCTTCCGGAGGCCGAACTGGCCCAAACTTTCCATCGTGTGTTTTGAACGACGCGAGCATGTCGGTACGTGTTCCTCCCTTGGGACTCTCTTGCGGCCCTCCCGGGCCGTTTAGGGTGTCTCTTTTCCCGTCTCGCAGCCCCCTGAGCCCGTTTGGGGGCTCTCGTGGGGGCCTCTCGGGTTGTGTTGGTGCGATGTTGGGGGCCTCTGAGGCCGGGGCCGCCTTGGAGCGTCGGGAGCCCGAGAAGGCGAAAACGCCGAAATCGCTGACAACCATAGAAAGGAAGGATTTTGACATCTTGGGGCTCTTCTGGAGACGCTCTTGGGGTTCGCTGGGAGCATCCTGGGAGCCTCTTGGGCCATCTTGGGACTGCCGGGGCCATGATGATGAGGGCGACTGATGGCGTGGGAAGGCGACCAGGAGTTGCCTTTGTCAACGTCGTTTGAGGAGTGTCTTCGGGGGCCTCTTGAATCGTCTTGGCTCCCTCTTGGGCTGTCTTGAGGCCGTCCTGGGAGCCTCTTGGTCTGACTTGGGGCGACGTTGGAGGCCTTGGGCCGTCTTGGGCGGTCGGAAGCCCAAAAAGAAAGTCTCTCCTGTCTGCATCGCCGCAGTCCATGAGGAAGGCGAGACTAGTCTTGGATGAAATCCCCGTGCTTTTACCTAAGGACGGTTGATGGCATTCTGTTTGCGCCTCCCCCCACAGCGTCGAGTGCACATCTGCGGGGGGTAGGCAGATATGACCCATCATTTTAAGCTTCATCTGGGATGGGGATGTGGTCACTTGTTGTTCGCGTGGATCATTGGTAGCCCAGCAACTGGCCAAGCTCGGGGACCCATGTCCACGACGGCCCATGTCCACGACGGCCCATGAGTAATCGTAAAGGTTGCCTCTTCATAATCGCAAGGGGGTCTGGCCCAAGGCTTACAGTAAAGCCGAGAAGATTTCAATATTTTTTATCGTAGCCGTTGTAGTCAAATTGCCCGTAACTCCGTAGTTCCTTCTTCGTCTTCTTCCTCCTGTGCATCCTCCACCTCCTCATTATTCCTCCCTCTTCAATGTATCACGCGTTTTCTGATTGCGTATCACACGATGGGGTCATTTGGAAAACCGTTCGGCTAGGACGCGGTCGACAGACAAACAATCAACTCAATGGGAAGGGGTGGGCGGGATGGGGTCGGATGCCAGATGTGACGCGCGCAGGCTCAGTTCGCTCCCTCCTTACGATCTCTCCATCCTCCCCTTTCCTTCCCCCCTATTTTGCCCCCTCCCGATGCCGAGGTCTGCCTTGTCGCCCTGGAACCCACGACGCGGGTATCCGCCTTGCCATGCGGCCATGCGTTCCATCCGCATTGCATCGCCAGGCGCGCCCGCGGGGGGGTCCTGCAGCCGCAAGGGGGGCCCAGTAGGCCCCAGCCGGCCCTGCAAGAGTCGACGATGACTGCAGGGTTGTCGTACGGTTTTGGCATATTCGCCTTCTCGGTGTTTGAAGCCTCCAACGCGTTCCCAGAGCGCTCCAGGACGCCGCAAATGTCGTTGAAGATGGCCCCAATGAGGCTCCAGGAGGGCTTTAGGAGGCCCCACGAGGGCCATACCACACCCCCAGAGTTGGCTCTGCAGCCAGCAGGCTGGCGTGCGCACGAGCAGTGCAGACAAACACAGCAGTGGTGGCGCAGTGCGTAATCAAGGTTGCCCCGCGAGGGCGCGAAGATGTCCGCGCTTTGCGTTCCGCGGCCTGGGCCAGAGAGTTGGCCTTCGCCATGGTGCCGCGCCTGAATTTTCAAAGCAATAGTGATTCGCGTCTCTCGCAGCGCTAGTACTCTGCAAAAGGTACCTCTTCACCACGATGCTTGGCCAGGTTCATGGACCCTAGGATAGAGTACTACCCCGTTGCTATTGTTGGTGACCATCCCGCCACGGTGCGCATCTGAATCGAAGTGTGCGGAGTGAGGGGATCCTCAGGCGATCTCACGACGAGGCAGTGTGTTCCTGAGCGCAGAACCTGCCCGCCGTCGTGGTTAAACGGCGCGGAGGAAATTTCTGCACACTTGGAGTACGTAAGTTATCGCAGACGCCTACGACGAATCACCGGCGCCCCCTGCCTTTGCGGAAGCGCCTATGTGGCCGAACTTGCGGCCAGAGTTCGGCCAAGTTATCGGACAACGTGTTTCCCCAGCCGGTGAGGAACCCCTTCGGGGAACACGTGGGGAGAGAATAATAATAATAATAGTACTACGAATAGTAATACGAAGAAGAAGAAACATAAGAAGAAGAGGAGAGGGAGGAGAAGGATGATGAAACCAGATCGAATGCCTCTTGAGGCCTCCTTGGGACTTCCTATGGGGCCTTTTGAGGTGCTCTAAGGGGCCTCTCGGGGGCATCCTTGGGCCTCTTGGGGTTTTCCTAAGGCCTCATGGGGACCTCTTGGGGCCTCTATTGTACCTCTTGATCTTCGGAGGCCGTCTTGGATTCCTCTCTAGGGCCTTGGAGGTTTCTGGGGCCGTCTTGGGGGCCTCCTGGACTGCTTTGGGGCCCTTTGGACAGTCTTGCGAGCCTCTCGGGGGCCTCTAGGCCCGTCTTGGGGCGATCTTGGGGGTCTCTGGGCCTGTCTTGGAGCGTCGAGCGCCCGAAAAGGCGAGAACGCTAAACTCATTGAACAACCTAAAGAGAGTCACGGTTGTTGGCTTCCTGGGGATTCTCTTGGAGACTTCTGGGGTATCTAATGGGCCTCTTGGCCTTCAGAGGCCGTCTTGCCCGGGGCAGTCGTGCGTCCAGTTGTTGGTGCTTTAGGGCCGTCTTGGAGGTCTTCGGGGCCGTTTTGGGCTCTTGGGCTGTTTTGGGGCCTTCGTGTGCCGTCTCGCGGGCCTCTTAGGGGGCCCCTGAGGGCGATCTTGGGGCCCGATGGGCCCGTCTTGAAGCGTCGGGCGCGAGAAAAGGCGAGAACGCTAAACACATTGAAACATCGACGGGGAATCCACGATTTTGGCATCCTGGATGTCCCCTTGGAGCCCCCTTGTGCCGCCTGAGGGGCCCCTTCAGCTGGCTGGAGGGCAGTTTGGAACGTCTTGGGGCCATCTTGGCCGTCTTCGAGGCGTCTAGTGGCCGTCTCGGAGGCCATCTGGGGCTATGTTAGCCGTCTTGGATGCCAGCTTGGCCGTCTTGGACGCCATCTTGGGTCATCTTGGAACCATCTGGAGTGGGTCTGGAAGATCTTTCCAGACGGTCGGCGGGTGGAGTTGAGACCCATTGGGAGTTCTTGAGAACAGAACACATAACCAACGCCTTCCAGAAGCTCAGCACGCCAGGCATCCCTTTGATCAATCGACAGGGGCGGCGGATCGAAGACGCCTACGGCGAATCACCGCCGCCCCTTGCCTTTTCGGATGCGCCTATGTGGCCAAAGGTTTGGGCATCGTTTGGCCACGCTATTGGACCATGCGTTCCCCCAGTAGTTGTGGACGCCCTTCGGGGAACACGTGGGGGAGGAAGAGGAGGATGAGGAGAGGGAGGGACAATGCGGATGAGCTGAAGGCCACCTGGAGGCCTCTTGGTGGCCTCCTTGGGCCTTTGGGGGCTTCTTGAGGGCCTGTTTGGCGGTCTTACTGCGTTATTGGCCCGTCTGCCGCCGTCGGAGGCCGTTCTGGGAGCCTCTGTAGGCCGTCTCGCCCCCCCCCCCCCCCTTGAGACGCTTCAGGGTCGTCTTGAAGGCCATCTTGGACGTCTTGGATGCCTATTGCGCCATCGTGGGGCTCTGTGGGGGCCGTCTTTGGGGCCTCTTGGGCTGCCCTGGGGCCATGTTGGAGGCCTCTTGCGAGATCTTGAGGCAATCATGGTGGCCTCTTGGACCGTTATGGGCATTCTGAACACCGAAACTGAGCAAACGCCAGACTCCTTCACTCGTCGCATGCCAATTAAGGATTTTGACCTCGTTGGGCCTTCCTAGAGAACCTCTTGGAGGCCTCTTCGGCCGTTTCAGGGGCCTCTTGTGCGCTCTTGGGCCGTCTTGGACTCTCTTCGACAATTTTGGCGGTATTGGAAGCATCTTGGGACCGTCTCGGAGGCCATGTTGGGACTATGTTGGGCTCTCTGGGTCCATCTTGGCCGTCTTGGAGGCCATCTTGGGCCATCAAGGCAGTCCTGGAGTTTTGTTTGGGGAATCAACGGGTTCTTCGGGTGGCCCGCGGGTTGAGACCAGACCCTACTGGGAGTTATTAAGAACAACGAAAATAACAACCAGGTGTCCACGCCAGGCACCCCTGTGATGCATCAACAGGGGGCGGCGGATCTAGCGCCCTGCAGCCCATCCCGCCACAGCCTCTGGGCTGCAGGCCAGAGCCCCTTTGCTTCCTGTGAGGGTATCCTTGGAGGTTTTTCGGAAGTCTCTTGGAGGCGTTTTTGCGGTGCATTGGGGCCTCTTAGGGGCATCGTGAAGTTTCTTGGGCGCCTCCAGGGGCCATGTTGGCGCGGAGGGCGCGGAATGTCTGTTCGAGTTTCCCCTCTTGGGGCCCTCTTGGGCCATCTTGGAGTCTTGGATACATCTTGGGCTGTCTTGAGGCCCCCTTCGGACTTTTAGGGGCCATCTTCGGGGCCTTTGTGCCGTCTTGGGGCGATCTTGCGGGCCAAGTGGGCCGTCTTTAAGCGTCGGAAGCCCGAACAGGCGAGACATGTTTAAAATCTGTAACACATGTCGAGGGATCGATGTTTTTCCTAATCATCCTGTGGTGTTGGGCCCTCGTTTTGAAGAGACAGCGCCCCGTGTCTCACCTCCTCCCGCCCTCTCCCCCTCCTCCCTCCTCCCATCCCTGCCTTTGCCCTCCACATGTCCGCTTCGGTATACTCCTCTCTCGTTAGTGAGTGAATGGTGTGGAAGTCTCAGGCGGGAACCCTCTCCCTATGGGGCCGCTGGAACCCTCTCCCTATGGGGCTGGGCCGCTCGTTCTTGGCCAACTTCGATAGCTCTCTGACGTGGGATGTTATCTGGCCTGGCCGTGTCGCAACTCTTCGGCTTCGCGGGGGGTCGGGCGCCTTGGATTTGACCGTGGCATACTTCCCGACAGGCTCCACGTTAGGCGAGGCGGAGCTCTACGGCGTGCATCCGTCGGCCCTCAGATCGTGTTCATCATTCCCGGCGCTTCGTGGTCACCTTCGGGATCGCCTCGCGCGTAGCGTGGCTCCGCGCGACTCGGCGCTGACGATTCTGGGAGGGAACTTCAACTACGTCGCGTCTCCGGGCGATCGCTCCTCGCTTACCTCGGCCTCCGCTTCCGGCAGGAGGGACAATGGGGAGGAGGCGCACTTCAAGCTGGTTTTGGGCGCGCCTCACGGCTTGCATGAAACGCATCAGCCGGAGGTCACGCACGCCTCGGCGGCCGCCCGTTCTCGGTTGGATCGCATTTATTGCAATGGGCACGTTTCCGAGCAGCTTGACCGGTATCTCCGAGCAGTTGCGTTGGAGTGGCGGGTCGATTTGCCCGCCCACCGGGCCGTGATCTTCGCGAGGCACGCTCCTCACCGCCTCATGGACGAGGAACGCTCTTTATCGGATCGCGCCGTTCGGCACGATGATTGGCCTCGGAGGGTGATTTTGCACTATGGCGAAATGCTGAAGGACAATGCCGGCTCATCACCCTTACGCAGGCTGCAGCTGCTGAAGGACTCCATGAAGTTCGTATCCCGCACGTTGGAAGAGGCCGCGACTGTGCCGGCGACGGCAGAGTCGTTGGAGGACCGATTTGGCGTGACCATGAAGTTTTTTGATGGCCTCCGAAAAGGGGATGCTTGGGGAGGTGTCCGCGTGTCTTCATCAAAATCCTTCCTTGGCTGAGCATGTCTCCAACCCGTACGACGTCACGGGCAATCTCACGATGAAGTTTCGCCGGGTCCGCGAACATGCAGTCGACCTTGCGCGTGAACATGCTGCCGAGCTCACGAGGACCTGCAGGGTGATAGTCCAGAGCGGGCGCAGAGGCGACGGCAACGAGGCACGCGCCTGCTATACCGCCTAGTCCCAGGACGCTCTGGGTCGGTTTCGGCCGTCTCAAACGCTCGCGGGGAAGTCCGTTCCGACGTCGACGGCATGGCCGGCGCTCTCCGCGACCACTGGCGCGAGGTGTTCCGGGCGCGCGGCGTGGACGAGGCTTTGCTAGACCGGCAGCTCGTGGAGGAATTGGATCACATGCCATTCGCCAGCGTCGCGCCGTTTCCAGACCACTTGTTCCGGCTTCGTCGACGTCACGTGCGCCGCGCCATTCGGAGTTCAAACAGCTCTTTGCCTGGGCCGGATGGGATACCATTTTCAGCGTGGCGTCGGATTGAAAATCTTGCCGTGGATGTCTTCTTCGACTCACTCGAAGCCATGACCGCCGACGGCGGACCCGAGGCGACGTTGGAAGAGTACGGTGACTTCAACTTGAGTTTGCTTTTCTTTTTGCCCAAGCGTCCGACTGGCATTCACACTGACGGCAGTGAGTATTATGCTGCGGAGGCCGTCAGGCCGCTGAACGCGACTAACTCCGACAACCGTCTTTTGGCCAGCTCGGTGCGGATCATGATCGAACCATGGGTGGGCCTTCGGATCTCCATGTCGCAGAGGGGTTTCATTTCAGGCCGGTCTATGCTGGCAAATATCGTGGACATAGACGAGGCGATGGCTCTGGGCACGTTGTCGGCGGAGGGGGATTCGGCCGCCGTGTTCTTCGATTTCGCGGCGGCTTTCCCCTCGGTGGAGCGCGAGTTTCTGCGCCGGCTGTTCGAGGCGCTCGGCTGGCCGCCGTGGCTGCTCCGCTTCGCGCGTGCCTTGTACCAGGCCAACGAGTGCAACATGGTTGCGGGAGGCTCTAGGCACAGCGGTTTCTCCCTGACACGGGGCATTCGCCAGGGGTGTCCGTTATCCCCGCTCGTCTTCGCGGTCGCATCAGACCTATTACTCCGGCGACTACAACGAACCTTCCCGAGGGCTTGCATCCGAGCGTTCGCCGACGACCTGGCCATGGTCCTCGCCTCGTTCCTCGTGCACGCCACGACGTTGGAGGTGATCTTCGCGTTCTACGCGCGGATATCCGGCTTGGTATTGAACTTCGCGAAGACAGTGGTGGTCCCGCTCTTCGAGCACCGAGCCGACGAGTTCCGCAGGCTGCTCACCAGAGCGGCCCCGGCCTGGGCCGGAGTGGACGTCCAGCTCTGGGCGAAATACTTGGGTTTCATCCTCGGTCC